TCCTTCCTAATTTCGAAATTTTCGTGTCGCCAGAATCTATCACCTCGGGTGCTGCTTAAGCACAAAAGAAAACGGCATCCCTCATCTTTGCCTTGATTTACATGGTTCATACTGCATGAATCATTGTCATTTGAGACTTAAATATCACTGAAGGCTGTTTTTGATGAAGGGATACTGGGGCCGTTGAAATATTCATCTGTGAGTAGCCATATTTGCAGTACCGCACTGAACGCGCCAGAGACGATCATGGAGCATCGGACGCTGAGGCAACGCGATGATAACGCTCGACGAACAGTCAAAAACCTCGCAGCGCATTTTCAGAATATGAAGAACCTGCAAGCAAATTCGCAGACTAATGAAAGTAAGCTTTTTGGTTGGATATCTTTACTATCCTGATTTTTTGCTCCCTGAAAACAATTTTTATTTAGTCAGTTTTGAGGTTTTAACTTATTCAGCTCACGCAGTGATAAGATCACTCTCGCTTTGCGTAAATGCACAGTTCACAGTGTTTGGATAACTGTCAAAAAATTATGCATATATTTCTTTCGTGCATTTTTTGCATAACTCATGCAAATGAATGAAAAATTACGTATATGTCAGTGAGAACTAAAAACCTCTCTGTATTCGCTCCTGTTGAGAGTATTCCGAGAATTACGGCTGCTAGCGAGGGCATTGCCATTCAGTGAGGGATTTATGAAATTCAACCTGCAAAAACACGACAGCTTTTAGAAAATTTAAACGGTAAAGTCAGATCACGTAGTATCAGTAGTTTTGTAGTTGAAAAAGTTTTTGAAAATTTAGCAACTCTCTGTCTCTGTCAGAGCGAGGAAAGCAGCAAATTTCAGGTTACGATAATGTTGGCCATAATTTGCCTCCTCCAGTCCGAATTACTCCATATTCCGGCGTGAAGCCCAAGGTTTGTAGTTTCCGCTGGACTATTATGATTTGTAAACACAAAAGCTTTCCGATTACAAAGTTTCAGCTGTTGCACAAATTCAGCTGGCTTAGCCACGGTCGCACGTGCTTCTCCCTTTGCATTACATTTTCGGGCTGTAAAAAATTGGTTGTACGTTGACATTTTTTCGTTCACTTCCTACCAGACATGGTCTGAAAATTAAGAGTGGAATTAGTTACAAACAAAGTACGTCGCAAATTATTTCCTTTGAAAATTGCTTAATAACGGACTCGTAATATCAGCACAGTTGGTGGTACTCTCAGTTTTAAGTAATTGGTTCATTTTTTCCAGTGGGGCTATTTATTGGCGCTTCCCAAGGAAACAAAAAACCAAATCAGTCTGAAGAGGGAACCACTAAACTCACTCTTCACATAATGGCTACTACATTAGCAGTTTAATGCCGGAGGGCCTGACATAGCTGCTTTTAACGGGTGAGCACATCTCAGTAAAATCATTAATGTCGAACCTCACACCAATTGTCCGAGCAAACTTGGCAATCCTAGTCAAATAATATTTTAGGCATTTTTGCCACTGTATAATTTTTTAATTTTTTCTGCTCTTGAAGTTTCTGGTAGGCCTTTTTGCTGTTAACAGCGATACTGCTAAAATTTTTTAACATTTTTGCAGTATGTAAAAGATAAATAGCGAGGTACGGGACGTGGAATCACGGAACTACCGGTGGCGTGCTGTGGTCGTCGATCCGACCTTGTGAGGAACGAGTTCCCTCTCCCCTGTGTTCTATTACATCCATTCTTCATATGTTTTCGGAACAAAAAAATTTTTGCAGTTTCGAAAGAAATTCTTTGCTCTCACAGACAGAACCCGTCGTGTCTGATTTTATCATAATTCTTGTAAAACAGTCTCTCCGGTCTTTTCTCTTCCCATACTTTTTTTTGCAGTTTCTTTCGGATGGGTTTTACCTCACTTTTGTCTTTTCAGAGAGCCTTCCTGCTCCCAATTGCATAGTTCATTGCGGGTTGGCAGGGGATGAAGGCAATTCTGTGTGGTACCAAAAAGAAAGCAACTTCAAGCCACCCTTTCTCGTACCGTTTTTCTAAGTCGTAGTTTTCGGCTAGTTTTTCTGTCTCTAAATCTACAACTCAGCGACGTTTTAAAAGCAAGCACTACTGCTTTTGGCGCTCAG